TATCATTTGCTGGTAAATGGATAGAATTGGAGAACTTCATTCTGAGTGAGGTTAGCCTGGCCCATAAGACCAAAAATTGTATGTTTTCCCTCATATGTGGACATTAGATCAAGGGCAAACACAACAAGGGGACTGGACTTTGAGCACATGATAAAAGCGAGAGCACACAAGGGAGGGGTAAGGATAGGTAAGACACCTCAAAAACTAGATAGCATTTGTTGCCCTCAATGCAGAGAAACTAAAGCAGATACTTTAAAGCAACTGAAGCCAATAGGAGAAGGGGACCAGAACTAGAGAAAAGGTTAGATCAAAATGAATTAACCTAGAAAGTAACACATATGCACAGGAAATTAATGTGAGTCAACTCCCTGTATAGCTATCCTTATCTCAACTAGCAAAAACCCTTGTTCCTTCCTATTATTGCTTATACTCTCTCTTCAACAAAATTAGAGATAAGGGCAAAATAGTATCTGCCGGGTATCGAGGGGGTGGGGCTGAGAGGGAGGGGGCGGGGATTTTAAGGGAAGGTTTGGGGGAGGGGGGAGAAATGACCCAATAATTATATGCACATATGAATAAAAAAAAAAATTAAAAAAAAAAGAAATGTCCTATTTTGTTTTGTGGCCCAACATATGGTCCTTCTTAGAAATGTGTTGTGTGTGTTTGGAAGAATGTGTATTGTATTGTTCTTGTATAGAGTAGGCTGTATTGTTAGAAGTGGTTAGTTTATTGTAATGTTAAATTTTCTATTTTTTTACTTACCTTGTGTCTTGTTTTATACATTGTTGAAAGTGGACTACTGAAGTCTGCAACTAGCACTATACAACTATTTCTCCCTTTAATTCTGTTATTTTTTGCTTCATATATTTTGTGGGTCTCTTATTAGGGGTGTATTCTTATTGTATTACACTTTTAAAAATATATAGCATCCTTCTTTGTCACTTATAAGCTTGTTTGATTTAAAGTCTGCTTTGACTCATACTAGTACTGTCACCCCAGCTCTCTTTTAGTTCCTATTTTCATGGAGTATCTTTTTTCTTTCACTATCTTCCACTTTTGATCTATTTGTGTCTTTGGGTCTAAAGTAAGTTTCTCATAATGTGCATATAGTTGGATCATGGTTTTTGTTTTCCTTTCCTATTTTGTCAATTTGTCTTTTATTTGGAGAGTTTAACCCATTAGATTAAAGGTAATTACTAATAAGAAGGGACTTAATTCTGCCATTTTGCTATTTGTTTTCTAAATGTTTTATAGTCTTTGTGTCCCTTATTTTTCTCAATTACTGCCTTCTTTTTGTGTTTAGTTTATTTTTGCAGTGTTTTGATTCCTTGCTCATTTCCTCTTGTGTATATTCTATATACATTTTTGTAGTTACCATGAGGATTACATCAAATATCCTGAAGTTAGAGCAATCTAATTTGAATTTATGTTAACTTCAATAGCATACAAAAATTCTGCTCTTATACACCTCCTTCCCATACTTTCTTTTGGTGCCACAAACTACATCTTTATGTACTGTGTGTCAAATACCACAGATTGATAATTTTTATGCATCTTTCTTTTAAATCACATGAAAACAAAAAGTGGCTATAATCTAAAACTGCAATGATATGGCCTTTTGTAATTGCCTATGCGTTTACCTTTACCAGAGATCTTCATTTCTTCACATGGCTTTAAGTTACTGTCTAGCATCCTTTCTTTTCAACCCGAAAACTCTGTTTAGCATTTCTTTCAGAACTAGTGTGAGTGATAACAAACTTCTCAGCTTTTGCTTATCTGAGAATGCTATAAATTCTCCTTACTTTTAACAGACAGGTTTGTTGGACATACAATTATTGGTTGATGGTTCTTATTCCCTTTTATTACTTTGGGTATATGAACACATTGTCTTCCAGCCTCCATGGTTTCTGATGAGAAAGCAGTTAATGTTATCAAAGATCCCTTGTATGTGATGAGTTGTTTCTCTCTCTCTTTGGCAGTGCTAGAGTTTGAACTCAGGGCCTCGCTCTTGCTAGGCAGGCATTCTACAATATGAGCCACTCCATCAGCCCTGGGTTGCTTCTCTCTTGATGCTTTTGAGCTCCTTTTTGTTATTCAATAGATGGGTTGTTATACATCTCAGTGTGGATGTCTTTGATTTTATTGTACTTGGAGTTCATTGAGTTTCTTAGATTTGTAGATTCCTATGTTACGGTTTGGATTTGAAATGTCCTCAAAAGGCTATGTGCTAATGTCTTGGTCCTCAGCTGGTGCTCTGGGAGTGGTAGGAACTTTAGGAGGTGGAGCTTAGTTGGAGGAAGTATGTCAGTAGGGGCATGCCCTAGAAAGGTATATCTTGTCCTTGGCCCTTTGCTTGCTCTCACTCTCTTCTTTTCAATTACCATTAGGTGAGTAGCTTTATTTCATCACATGCTCCCTGCCATGATGTTTGGCCTCATGTCAGGCCCAAAAGAATGGGACCAAGCAACCATTGACTGAATCCTCTGAAACCATGAGCCACAATAAATCTTTCTTACTTTAAGATGATTTTCTAACTTAAAGTAGATGTTTTAACAGTGATGAAAATCTAACACAGTATCTTCATTAAATTTGTAGATTATCAGCCATTATTTCTTCATATATAATTTCTGCCCCTTTCTCTCTTCTGCTTCTGAGACTCTCACAATTCATATGCTGATCTACTTGATGGTGTTCCACAGCTCCTTAGGCTACCTTAATTCTTCTCCATTTTTTCTTTTAGTTACTGAGACTGAATCATTTAAATTATTTCATCTGCATTATGTTTACTGATTCTTACATCTTCTCAAATGTGCTTTCATTCTTTCAGTGAGTGTTTACATTGAAGTTACTGTATTTTTTTACTCCCAGAATTTTGTGATTTCTTTTTAAAATTTTTCTCTTTATTCATATTCTCATTTTGCTCATGTATAATTTTTAAAATATCTTCCTTTAGCTCTTTGAACATCTTTAAGAAGATATTTTAAAGTCTTTGTGTATTAAATCTAATACAGGGGTTTCTTCAGGGATGGTTACTATTAATTTTGTTCTTTTTAATGGGCCATATTTTCCTGTTTCCTTACAGGCTTTGTGATTTTTAGTTTTTTAAATTTTGATTGAAAACTGGACATTTGAATCCGATAATGTGGTAATTTAAAAATATTATTGTTTAAGCTTGTCTCTGAGCCCGGGATTAGGCTGATAGGAAAGCTGAAGATCTTTTTGGATCTTTTCCAAATCTATGTCTTTTCCTAGGTAAATGTAGTGACTTCTAAATTCCCTCATGTTCATGGTTGCTTTTATATGTCTTAATTCTTAAATGTCTGCTTCCCATAAGAAGAGAGAAACAGGGGGAAAGGAGCACTATTGCTTTAAGTTCCCTGGAAGTTTCTTCTGCTGGTGAGGGTTGAAACAATGGTGGATAGCTTCTCTTCCAGCTAGAGCCTGGAAGCTTTTAAATAGACTCCAAAGTCCCAAAATAGTTTCTTCAGACAGTTTCTACCAGTATAATTGTTCTCTGGATTGAGAGATGAATTCCCAGTGCTTTCTACTCCTCCAACTTCTCTGATATCATTCTAATACAGTTTTTATAAAGTTTTTTTTTTGGCTCTGGTAAGAGGAACCTAAGGAGGAAGTATTCATCCCTGGACCAGTGCTTTAAAGGACCTGCAGTGTTCCCTAGATTTGAGTATTGTGACAAATCTGAGAATATAGAAAATCAGCATTAAATTTAGCCTCTCTGGGCAACCATGCTGCCTCACTTGAAGGTATTCCTTCCAGAACTGAAATCCTGCTACTCCTGGGTTTCCTTTCATTAAAGGTAAGTCTTCCCATTCTAGGGGCTAGTCTTTCTTTTCTCTGTGTCCAACTGCATGTGGACTGCAATTTGGGTACACTTAGAAGCAACCTTCTCCTCGAGACTGTTCCCTTGCCAAAGGCACTCAGAATAAATACAAAGATGAACCACAGGAACTTCTAGTTCTCTGGGAACTGTCAGTTTGGGTAGTGCCCACAAGTAATATACCTTAAAGTAGAATCTGTAGCCCTGTCTTTCTGTACCTAGACCTTCTGCCTTGTCCCTAGAAAGCAGAAATTTTAAATGATTCCTCTTTGCATCTCTAGAACACCTGTGTTCAATACAGTTACTGAATTAATGCATTTGATGGTACATTTGCATAAGCTCTGTACAGGAATTTACCGCTGGGACCCTCATTTGAACCTAACATACATGCAAATATATGTAGAAACTTTTACAAACGTAAGGTATAAGTCAGTAGACCAGTGATTTCTAAAGCCTTGGTACTCATCACCATCACATAGTGAACTTTCTCCAAATCGATTCCAATTCTTTAACCACACACATTGTTTTTGTAAGTCTGGGATGGAAGCTACATTTTTAAAAAGCTACCCTGGTAATCCTGATATGCAGTCATATGGAACCACAGTTCTTTGACTGCCTAAGAAAATTTGGTAGTCAAAATAAAGTATTTGTGAGCAAGGATGTAGTTCATTGGTACAGCAGTTGCCTAGCATGCACAAGGCCCTGGATTCTGTCTCCATCACCTCAATAAACAATAAATATGAAATAAGTTAATAACGTATATCCGTTTCTACTTTTTTTTTTTAAAGGAAGATGCTGTGTTAGACATATAGCATACACTCAAGAACTACTTTTGGAACTTGGAGACTGGGTTCCAATTCCACTGCAGACATTGCCTGGCTATTGTCTTTAGACAAATTAGCAAATGTTTTCAGAGCTTCCGTTTCTTGATCTATAGAACAGTAGCGGTAGGGTTACTATGAGGATTTATGTAGACAGAGCCTGAGCACGGTACTGTAACACCCAGTAAGTGTTGGCGACAATAATTTTGATGTACACACGTGACACCAGATTCGGCCAGATGGAGAAGTCTTGTACTGGCCCCTGGGTCCAGTGAAGTACGCCAAAGCCACCCGAGCTGGCCCAGGCGGTGGCTGTGGCGCGCGTGTCCACCAGGGGCCGCTCGAGCTCCCCAAGCTCCCGCGCAGACCGTCGGCTCCCCGCGCGTGCTCACTCGACGTCGCGCTCCGAGGCTTCCCAAGCTAAGCCTCTGCGGCCGGGTGCGCGGCGCTTCAGGAACAAGATTTTGACTCCTTTTTGGAGTTCTCAGTTCTGCGCTCCTCCGTCCCTGACAAATCTGGGGCAGCAAACATAAGCGGCTCCACTGCGCTACAGACGGGGCAGGTTTCGGGCTGCCTGGGGCCTTGACGCACCAAGACACCGCCGCTGCCCGGATGTTGCGATGGCTGATCGGGGGAGGCCGCGAACCGCAGGGACTGGCCGAGGTAAACCCAGCTGACCCACCCTGCGCCGCAGACCCGCGGTGTCAGAGTCTACGCCCGGTTTCGGGGCCTGTGGACGAGCACGCGCCTCACTGTGCGCTTCCGCGGGGCGGGGCCTGCGGGCGAGCACGCGCGTCTCTGTGCGCGGGGCGGGGCCTGCGGGCGAGCACGCGCGTCTCTGTGCGCGGGGCGGGTCCTGCGAGCGAGCACGCGCGCCTCTGTGCGCGGGGCGGGGCCTGCGGGCGAGCACGTGCGTCTTTGTGCGCGGGGCGGGGGAGCAGGCCCAGGCGCAGGCGCAGGCGTGCGCGCGGCCGCGGGGCCGTCCTCCCCGTGGACCATGGGAGGGGAACCCGTAAAAGTCCGCACGCGACCGGCTCAGGGCGCTCAGCCGGGTGCGACCTCCAAGGACTTAGGTCGCTTTCTTCTTCATTGCAATTTAAAAAAGCATTCGATTTAGCTTGAAAGGAACAAGGGTGACTGCAGCTCTCCACTTTTGAGTTACTGAATTGCTACATCTTTCCAACATCAAGTAGTAATATCAGGGAATATAAAATTGATTTAGTTCCTTCCAGGAACAACAGAAAAAAAACCCGATGTAATTGTTTCAAAAAAATTAATATTTTACTTCAAAGTCATTTAACTGCTATGTTTGGTTCCATAGTCATACTTGATTCATGGGCCACCGCGACTGAGTAGACAGGGTAATGACATTTACATTTGAAAGATGAGTAAAATAAGTTTGCCACCTTAAAAAGGTTGAGGTCTGGGATTTATTTTATATGCCACACAAGACAATTTGTATTGAATTCCATTTTGTTTCTCATTTTGACTGTTAGTAAACAATGGTGGTGTTGTAAGCAGCCTAACTTCTCAGTTTTAACTTCCTCATATCTTTGCAGTTGAAAAAATATTATTTCATATGAGTCTGAAGTCCTTCAGGTTATGGAAAAATTGTGGCTCATTAAACAGCCATATATATTATATGTGGACAATTTGATATTAACTTGATTATTTGGTTAATATGATTTGATTAACCAATTCTGCCATCCCTGGCAAGCTTTCATTAGGGGAAGCAGTTTATAGTGTTTCAGATGTGTTACTTGTTCTCATCTGAGTCTCTGCTAGAAAGGGAGATAGGATAAATAAAAAATGACTGCTATGAGGTGGATTTTTTTCAGAAAACATTGATGCATGTTAATTTATATATTTCTTCATGTGAAGTATTTCAGTTGTGTAACTGTCTTGAATTTGTACAGTATCAGAACCTATGATTTTCCTTCAGACGCAGGGTGATTAGCAGTGACTCTCAATCTCTCAATCCTGGGATGATTTTATCTGCTCCTCCCCAGCATTTGGCAATGTCAGGAGACATTTTTGAGGGTCACAGCAAATGGGTAGTGTGTGTGTGTGGCATCTAGTGTGTAGGGAGAAGGGTGCTACCAAGAATCTAAAAAGGCACAGGGTTGCCCCATCAAGGAACATCAGGTATCAAGCTTGAGAAACCCTGGTTTAGTGATTAAGAACAAGGTTTTTATCATGAAATAGTACTGGGTTTATTCCAGAAATGGGATTAGTAAGATTTACCTTACAGAATTAAGTTGTGTGGCATCTGTGCTTAGCACAGTGTCTGACATATGGCCTGCCAATAGTGCTCTGAAAATGTTAGCAGTTGTCTTTATCAATGTTATTCAGAAATGAATTCACAAGTCTCATTGACTACATTTCTTTATTCATTTGCAAACATGTATTGAGTGCCTGCAATGGGTGATTTTTAGTGTTTATTTTACCCCTTTGTTTTGCAGTTTTAATTAACACTCATCCTAATATAATTGAGTTGGATTGGTCCATTAATTTTTTAAGTCAGGTTTATTGAGATTCAATATAAAATTTACCCTTTTTGTAAATTTATTGTGATTTAAAAATACTAAAATTTATGGTATGAATTCGTGGTAAGAGAAGTGTTTTATGTGGAGTTAGCAGTTATTTAGTTGCTATTATAGGAACTTATACTTTGAATTAGACTATAGCATCTGTGGCTTTTTAAATCTTCTGTTCTTAAATAGATACCATGCAGTTATAAACCATTTTCTTTCTTTCTTTTTTTTTTTAATCACAAGAAATCTGCTTTACAGACAATAGGCGAAGAACAAACCCAGAATCCCTATACAGAACTGCTTGTACTGAAAGCTCATCGTGATATTGTACGATTTCTGGTACAGTTAGATGACTACAGGTAAGAGACTCTAGCTGTCTAATTTACTACCGATTAAAAAGCGTTTTTAGGGAATTTTACATGAAAAGCAATTTGGAAACTAATCCATCTTTTCTAAAACTTTCAATACTGATCATTAGTAACTAGAGAAACAACCGATTAAAAAACGTAGGATTTAGTAGAAATTGAAATTGACCTCCGCATTGTGGTGAAATTATATCTAAGGTCTTTTTTTTAACCAGCTGTCAGTGTGTCACACCTGGGGACTTGGGGGTTATATTTGTTTTGTTTTGTTGTTTTTTGAGTTATCAGAAATATTCTTGTTAGCTTAGAAGAATTAAATGACTTTAAAATTTGGATAAGAGTTATAACTGTATATTAAGGTGAGCCAAAGTTGAGAAGCAAATGGTAAATATTTAAATATCAGATACCTACTAGAAATGTGTTAGTTTTAGTGGAAGGTAAAATAAGGATTTAATCTGAATTTTTTTGTTATTGATGAAACCCTTTAAAATGTGCATTGTTCTTTACAGTATCTTTAATATATTTGCAAATAGAGATGAAGGTGTATAGGTCTTAGAGTTGTATTCTTGACTTATCAATGACCTGTCTATAAGGGCTTATTGCACCCTTACTCAGCTACAATTACATAATGGTGTAACTTTTGATCTAGAATGTAAGCTTCATGAGAGAGGAGTTATGTTTTTCTTATTCACCACACTTGTTCTTAGTACCTTAGCACAGTGCATTACTTAGAGTGGTAAATGGATAGTTGTTGGGGCCCAGTGGTAGAGCACATGCTTAGCACATGCAAAGCCCTGGATTCAAACTCCCAACACCAAAAAAAAAAGTTATGCTAGTGAACGACTCCCCAGACTATTAAGTGTACATGCTGCATCCCATCCTAGCCCAAACCCTACTTCCGTTGTCTTTACAGTTCTTCCACTACCATCTCTGTTTTCTCATTTTTTTTTTGCCTTTGCTCCTTTTTTTCTTTTTGTCTCTATGAGTGACTGCTACTGTTATTATTCCTAACTCTATTACTTCTGCTGTCTTTTATCTGTTTTTTCATGTCTTTACTCTTTAGGTTTTTTGTTTTGTTTACTTTTTAACCATGGGGAGTGCAGTTCTGACTGTATGGCATTAGGTCAGATTTCACAGGTAAGGGACATAGTCCTCCACAGCACACCTTAGACACTAGTCATAATCCCTATTCCCAGGCCACCCACACTTCGGATCCGCTGGCTGCAAGTTCCCATTGCCCCCTCAGGTTTGGTAATTCACTGGAATTTTCAAACTCAGAAAAGCACTATGCTTATGATTATGGTTTTATTATAAAGGATGCAAATCAGGACCAGCCAGATAAAGAGATGCATAGGGTGAGGCCTAGGAGAGTCCCAAATGCAAAGCTTCCATGTCCTTAGGATTCATCCTTCCGTCAGTGTGTATCTTCAACAAGGAAACTCATTTGAGCTTTGGGTATCCAAAGTTTTTATTATTAGGGCTTCGTTGCATTGGCATAATTGTGTGAATCATGGGCCACATGGCTTGAACTCAATCTCAACCCCCCAAACCCCCACTCTGGGAAGTTGGGAGGTCAGTCTGATGTCCTGTAGCACAAAGCCCAAAATTTCTAATCTCATGGTTCATCTTTGCAGCTTTGTCAGCCCACAGTGAGTCATCCTGTTAGCATAAACTCAGGTGTAGCGACCCACCATGAATACTGAAGACACTCCTATCACTTAGGCAGTTCCAAGGGTTTAGAGCTGCCTTCTAGGAACCAGGAACAGAGGCCAACACAATTATTATACCCTGTTTCTCAACATTTTCTTGAGAAGTTTTGCCATATATGTATGTGTATATATATATATATATATATATATATATATATTTTAATATATATGTCACTATTTTCCTGTTGTCATGCAAGCCATTCAAATCCTAGCATGTTAAACACAGCATAATGATTACCAGGTTCTTTTGGTAACATTCATTTTTGCTATGTCTTTAGAGCTCCTCCATTTACTTATTTAAATGGTCATTTCCATGGGAAACCAACATTTCTGCAAAGGTGGGATTTTGTATAGCTAAAGTTTTCTTGTTCCATATTTTACCCTAGTAAGTTGCTAGAGTAAAATCATCCAGATAATTTCTTATAAGCACTAATATGCAGGTCTTAAGGAATCTTAAAATCATTTTGTTTAGAGGAGTTAAATAGTTTGAGGATCTGGTCTTTAAATTTTATATAGATTCCATTTTATAAGATTCCATGTTCATGTTGTCTGCTGTAAAAAGTCCTTTTGATTATTATTAAATAGTTAGAAGAATCTGAAGAAAAGGCCACCTTGTAGAATAGTGGTTGTTGAACAAATGCTGACAGACATTTGATTACATTTTCCCTACAGTGGTGCTCATGTGTATTTCAATTGTTCAATGTTACAATAAATATTCTGTAAACAGCAAAAAGCTATAGACGAGTATATCAGTTATGTGTTGTTGTCCCAAACATTATCCCAAACTTTGTGGTGTAATACAAAACAACCACAGTATATTTAGCTAATTGTTCTGCAGGAAGGCAGTTGGCTAGTCTTATCTGGGTGAGTGTTTTTGTCTACCAGGATCAGCTGATCTTGGCATGTCTGTGGTCAGCTGGTGGACTGGCTGGGGCTAGGTGGTTCCCAGTGGTCCCTTCCCCCTCCATATGGTTTCTCAGGTGATTGTGGAGTTCTAATACTGGCAGAAGGTCAAGTCCCAAAGTAAGACACCTGTCACCTCTCTGCTTGTACCATGTTTGCTGCTGTTCATTGACCAAAGGAAGTCAGGAGCTGGCACAAATTCACTGACTAGGTAAACAAATTTTACCTCTTGCTGGGAGGAGCAACTAAGTTTTATATGCACCTAATTGTGAGCATAGATGTGGGGAATAGTGTGTGGCTATGTTGGCTATCGACCACTGTGAATTTAAATATCTAAAGTAGATGAAAAACCCTGCTTTTGCAAGATAGGGATGGTAGAACCTCATGAATCATATTTAATTCACTGTATTCAAGTCATCACTTGTCAAAATTTGCATATAATTAGATGCAAAATTTTTCAGTTGTAGACCTGTAGAACTTTCAGATTATGTTTTTGCTTTAAAAAATTAAGTTCTGTAACAACACCAATAAGAATTAAAAGAGTCATTCTTAGAAATAAAATAAAAGATAGACATAAAATTCTGTAAACTATACTAAATATTATGAAGAGAAAAAGCTCAGTGTTTTCACTTAAATTTTTTCAGTTAACACATGATAATTGTCCATGTTGATGGGATATTTTCACTTAATAGTTTAGAATTATCTTTACCACTGTATATGTACAGTGTAAACCATTGTCAAATTTCAGAAATATCTCCCCAGTTTTTAAATACATTTATATCATTATACTTTTTATGTTTTATTTAGTTTTTTGTCAGTATTACATTCTGGTTTTTTTTGGTCAGCTGTTGTAATCCAGGTTTCACGCTTCAGGTCTTTAGATAATATCATCTTATTGAAAATTTTGCAGAAGGATTTTCTTGTTTTCTTGGTGGCTCAGCTAAAATCAGTGAGTGGAAAATTTTCTCAGATTGGTTTTTGAAGATACCAAATAAATCCTGTATAACCTAACAGACAGCTGCCTTTTCTTTTCTTCTTTAGTATTTTTTGAACATGAAGTGAGGGTCATATTGATTGGGAGATCACTAAAGAAGACTAAGCCTCAGCAAGAGTCTTCCAAAAAATGGACTGTGCTAAAATTACATGTAATACTCTAGCATTTGAGACATTAAACTAAACTGAGTTCATAACACATTTTAAGAATAGTTTTCTCTGTTGCTCATTTGACCATTCCTTGCTCCTCCAGGAAACAGACAAGGTTATGTAGGATGGTGATCATGACTGGAAGAGAATCAGATGACCCATGAAGTGCCAGACTGGAGAACGAAATGTGCCTCCAGGATGGCTGGTGAAGCTATGCATTCCCAGGACAACAAAGAAACAGTGCAGTGTGATAGTTCACTAAAAACAAATGGTGTGTGCTCCATCTTTAAGAAGATATTCTTAAGATAATTATATTTTTTCTCACATATTAACACTCACAGAATAGAGATCAGTAATCAAAATGGCTCAGATCCTCCTAATTCCTGGGTTCCCTGAAAAGCAGACACTAAAATAAAGTATGCAAAATTATTAGAAAGGCCAGTGAAAAGAGAAAGAAGGAAGCAGGGTTAATGGGAGTTGGAGGGGGGACTGTCTGAGACTGTGATGAGATGTGACAGAATGCCTGCCAGCTACATAGGGAGTACTGGAAGAAGGACTGGTCCTTGGAGGAGTTTTGCTCTGGATGGAAGTAACTGGGGCTTGTACCATTGCCTGGTCATTTGCTGAGGGTTGTCCAAGAAGAACGTGCCCCTGGCATCTATCATCTTGATTACCTCCTAGTGACTGAGTTAGTCTGACTTTGGCTTGAAAGCTGAAATGATCCCTGAAGTCCACAGCTGGAGACAGTCAGATAACTACATTCTTCACAGCTGAGTTGCTAGTCACCTCTTGAAAGGGAATCTGGGAGGCACATGTTTGGGTCTGCTGTACTTCCACAGTTGTAAGTTTGGCTGTTTAATTTTTAAATCCCTTAAGTACAATTGTATGGGCCATGCCTTTGGGCATCTTTTTAAGAAACTATTCATATTACATTGGTTAAAAGTTCTTTGCTGGCTTGAGAAAGTGCATACAGTTTTCAGAGATATTAAGGTATTGTTCCTAGAAAAAGATATAAGCAGAATCCTTTTAATCATGATTTCTAGTAGCCACAATACTAACAACCTAATAGACTTTGTACTTGGCTATTTTTAAGTGCTTATATTGCCCAGAATCACATCAAATTTAAACATGTTGATTTATTATAATAGATTTTGCTAAAATCTATTACCAACAAAACAAAAATAACCCAGTTATATTTCCAAGACTTTTAAATGTCTCTGTGGTGAACTTATCTTTTCATTT